GGTCAATTGCATGTAAATAAATTAAATAAAAAAGCGACAATGACCTTCAGGTTAACTAGCTTTCGTTCACCATAAGTGACATTATTAGGCGTTTATTCTCAACAATCACGTATCAAATGTATTAAAAACAATACTCGTCGTATACTATTACGAGGCGATAAGTGTTATGGGACAGAACTGCAAAGTTTAAAATACAAAAAGAGAAGGACTCCAACCATAAATACATGCGTATGAAGAGTTAAATAGAAAGATAAAAGGGAATTTTATATGGGCGGCGGGAGTTGCATAATGAACTAAATGATATAATAAGAAGATAATACCAGCCGAGTAGACTCGTACTTCATTATCGCCCTCCTGACGGTACTTGGGCATTTTCTGGTAGGCTATGAGGCAGGATTCAAGTTGTCGGCGCATGCGTGTTATCTCGAGCATAGCCTTGATTGTAAGACCCAGGCGCCTCCGACATAGCCAGCCACGAATATACCTCTGTAGCAGGATTACTTTGGCCCGACGATACTCAATCTTTTTCCTTACTATCGTAGATAGAAAGAGATAGATGATAGTAGGCAGGGATATCGGCATAAGCTAATGTATATAAAGTGTATGCGCACAGTGAGATAATACTCGAGTCAAGAGTCAAGGATGTGAATTGAATTGAATTGAAATAAACAGTCTGTCAGGCTTAGATTGAGCTGATATTATATCGCAAGATTGGCCACTTACCTAGAACATTATTATTATCGTATCCACCAATGGAACAGTTAAAATTAAAACAGAATATAACTAAAATAAGGCAATAATAATTAAATGCGAAGTAAAAACCTGGCAGGAAGTACCATTGAGGAAAGTAATAGGCCAAAGGGAAAATAGGTAAATTTAGCTCAAACCGCAAAGCATGTGTAGACAACTGGTCTAATTAATATAACCCTATTTCGTTTATGGTGATGAAAGATTGGCAGTTAAATTTTCCCACAATAAGCAGGCATAATGTTTTAATCGAATTTTGCCTAACCTTGCTTCCCAAAAAGTATTTTTCTCTAGGAGCGAGTGGACTGCAGTTTCGACCTCACCTAGCTCTCATTAGCACCCCTAGAGGGATTAAAATCAAGGTAGTTCAGCGTATAGTCTTAAAAAATAACCACCACGCCACACAGTCACGGGTGCCCTTTGGTCAAAGGGCAAAAGTAAATTTTAAGGAAGCCTAGATCTTTTCCATATCACATTTCTATGGCGGAATTACCTGAAGAAGCAAAGCTGTTTATGCTACTACAATTGACTACATTACTTTATTTTCCGTTTTTCATAAGCATGCTTTGGAGACTACGAGTAGATCTTATGTAAGATCTGTATTCACCCTATTTCATTTAAGGTGATGAAGGACTGGTGGTCTATTTAAGATGAGGTAAGCGACCTAAGCTAGAAGTACTCAATCCAATGACTTCTAAAAATAAAGTCAAGCTTAGATTTAGTGCAACTAATATGTGTACTGCATGATTGAACTTTATCGGTAAAGGTAGATCACATGTGCTGCTTCAGGGCCACTTTGATCGTATGTATAACGAAGTGAAATTTAATGAAAAAAATAAAGCCTTATCTTCAGTTAATTGTGGGTGGAATCGCTATCAATCTTATAAAGCCATAGAAATTGGTTTGCATATAGAAAATAAACAGATTCCTGATAGCTGTGAAAAAAATATGTAAGTTTCCCCATTTGAAATATGTTAGACTTATGAAATTTCGAAGTTCAAACTGTCAAGCCGTGCTCTGAAAATGAGCTGGTTTTATCAAGGTTAGGCTAATAACCTCTGTTTTGACAATATGCACAAAATGATAGAGGGATAAGCCACAATGAAGATAAAGAGGAGAGAAGTTAAGCCTTTATAATTGTATCGCAATATGAAGATGACAGTCCGACTGAATTATATGTAGGAATCGAGTCGGCGGCATTGCATTCATCTTGAAATATCATTTAGGAATTTATTGAGAAATGGGAATGCATATGGCAGATAATTGTTCGTCTTGAATACTGGAAAGTTTGTTTTTTGTTGAGGGCCCTCTCTTCAAAGATCTACTCTAGAAATTGCAAATTGAGTAACTCAGCAAGTAAAAGGCCAAAATAAAACTTCTTTAATGCAAGGCTGAGAACCTTGGTTGACTCACACTTAATCACCTCCCAGGCGCAGTACTGGGCTAAGTGCCATCGGTACCTAATTAGCCATTTGGCTACTTTGGCGACCAAGCTGGCCAGATGCTGAGGATCAGAACGTAGCATCTGGTCGAACTCCGCAAACTTGCCAGGCCGGAAGAAGACTCGCGACACGCCAAACTTGAAGTCAATATTATTCAGACCCAGCGCTTGGAAAAGAAGCTGAGGGTAGGCAAAAAATATGGAGATATGAAATAAGAAGATTAGTCGAGTGATGCTCCGTCGACTATATAAGGTTTCATTGTCTATTCAACTTGAACACTAAACGGCCACTTTGTAAAGGCTTTGTTAAAGGGCATATAGGGGAGGGGGAAACTTATGGAGTATTCAATTCGCGATGAAATTGTCCCATATGATTGTTCATCATTTCTTACGTTTATGCTTCCGCTTCGCTCTTCTGGCCTGAGTTTCCTTTCTAGAGTAAATTGTAGCTGGTAAGAGTTTAGGTTTATTTTGAAAGCCAATCGAATTGCCTACTTTAATCACAGCATACAGGCCCTACTAACTAATCCTTTGCCACCACATCCATATGAAAACTAATCAAAATCAATTTTTCTAGCTTTGCTAGGTGAATGGCAGAGGAGACCTGTTGGGAACTGAAGGGGCCAATAAAAGCAAAAAATTGTGTGCAGACCTCAAGAGCTCAACACATACGTGAGACTATCTGGCTAAAAAATATTTCTTAACACCATTTCTACCCCAGAGTTAAGCTATTCTAAAATTTCACTATTTTTGTTTGAAAGAATATGAAGCTTCTCAA